AGCCTCAATAAATCTAATAGATAATGGGTCAATACAACTAAAATTGGCTAAAAATAATAGCTTACCGATCACGTAATTAAGAATTTTACTCACCACAGAATTATTTGACAACAGATACTAAAAATGGCCAAGCGTTATGGGTAATAGCTTATGAAATCTAGAATTTCGATCTCTGCAAAAGTACTTGCCAACAGGTTGGAATGACCAAAAATTCATGAACTTGTGGATTTCCCCCTCCATCAAATTATTTGCCAGTAGGTCAAAGTGACTAAAAATAACTGAAATTCATGTATTATAGATCACAAAATATGAATTTTTGGACTATATAAAATTAGTTGCCAATGGATCGAAACGACTAAAAATGACCAAAAATCATGGGTTATGGATAACGATGCAGTGAATTTTAGCCTCCACAAAGTTATTTGCTAATGCATCAAAACTACTTAAAATAGAAAAAATCATGGGCAATAGCTCAAGAAATTGTGAATTTTGACCTCTATGAAACTATTTGCTAACGGGTCGAAACGATTAAAAATGGAAAAAAATCATGATTTATAGCTCATGAAATAATGACTTTTGGTCTCTATTAATTATTTGTCGATAGGCCAAAATGAAAAAATAGCCAAAATTAATGAGTTCAAAGCTCATGGAGTTAACACTTTTAGCCTCGGTAAATTTACTTGCCAATGGGTCAAAATGACTAAAAATGGCCAAAATTTTTGGGTTACAGCTCATAAAATCTCGAACTCCTCAAATTTATTTTAAAATGGCTCGAAACAACTCAATATGAGTTATATCTTATAAAATCTTGAATCTTTTCCTCCACGATTTCATTAGCCAACTGGTCGAAACGACTAAATATGGCCAAAAATAATATGCTATAGCTCATGAAATCATGAAATTGAGCCACCAGGTAATTATTTACAACAGGCATGAAACGACTAAAAGTGTCCAATAATTGTGGGTTATAGCTCATGAAATTATAAAATGACTAAAAATGGCAAATAATTGTGGGTTATATCCAAGAAAATTATGAATTTTGGCCGTCACAAAATTATTTGCCAACTAGTCGAAATGACTAAAAATCACCAAAAAATCATGTAGTAGGGATCACAAAACCTTGAATTGTGGCCTCGGATATATACTTGCTAATGGGTCGAAACGATTAAAATCGCAAAAAAACTATGGGTTATAGCTCATGAAATTATGAAGTTTGAACTCTACAAAATTATTTACAAATAGTTCAAACAACTAAAATATCCAATAATCATGGGTATAGCTCATAAAACTATGAATTTTTTCCTCTACAAAATTATTTGCTAACAAGTCAAAATAACTAAAAATAGCCAAAAAATCATATACACAAAATAATGAATCTCGGCCTACGCGAAATTGTTTTCGAACAGGTCAAATGACTAAAAACTACCAAAAATTATGGCTTATAGCTCAGGAAGTCATGAATGTTGGCCTCCGCAAAATTATATATCAATGGGTCGAGACGACTAAAAAAACAATATCTTGGCATATAGCTCACAAAATCATGAATTTGGGCCTCCAGATATTTCTTTATTTTTTTTACGAACAAGGATGGAACACCACAGAAATGTTCTAGCCTAACAAACTATCTATAAGTGCTTGTTACAAAAGTAGGACTATATCGCCAACTCAAAGAATAGGGCCTCTGCGAAATTATTTACTAATTGTTTGAAACTACTAAAAATGTCTATCGTGGACCATAGCTCATAAAATTATGAATTTAGGCATTCACATAAATTAATTGGGAGCGTTTGGCAACCATGGCGTTTTTGTCGTTTTCGTTTTTTTTTCAAGAAAAACAATAAAATGTGTTTGGTAACCGGGGAGATTTTTTGACTTGACCCTTTACAAAATCCAAAAAATAAATGTTTTTCTTAAAACACCAAAAATGTGTTTTGAGATTCGGTTTTTTCATCTAAGCCTCTTGCGCCGCTGCTGTGCGGCCGTCCCGCGCCGCCCGCCCGCCGCACCACCCGTCGCCGCCGCTGCGCACCGCTAGCCCGTCGCCGCCTGCCACCGCCCTAGCCTATCGCCCGCGTGCCGCCGTCCGGCTGCCACATCGGTCGTCCGCCGCCCGCCGCTGTCGCTGCGCGTTTTTTCATCTAAGCCGCTGCCCGTCGGTCGTCCGTCGTCACTACCCGTCGCTGCTCGTCGACCGCCCGTCGCTGTCGCCGCCTGCCGCCCCGCCGCCGCCGCCGCTGCTACGTTAGGCTGTCTGTCCCGCCGCCACCACCAAGCCGCTGCACCGCCTGCCGCACCGCGCACCGCCGTTGGCCGTCGGCCGTCGCCGCGCGCGCGGCCGCCGCGCTGCCGCGCGCCTCCAGCGTCGCCGCCTAGCCTGTCGCCGAGCTGCCCGTCGGCCGTTCCGCCGCCCGTCGCCGCGCTGCCGTTTTTTTCATCTAAGCCGTGCCCGTTGCGTCGTCGCCCCGCGCCCGTCGCTGCTCGTCGATGTCCCCCCGCGCCACCACACCGGAGCTGCCGTGCCGCGCTGCCGTCGGCCGTCGCCGCCGCCACCACCACCGCAATGCGGTCGCTGCCGCCGCCGCCGCGCCCGCCACCGCTAGCACCGCCGCCGCCGCTGCCAGTGGCCGTCGACTGCCTCTGCTCGTCGGCCAGTTCGCCGCCCCCGCCGCCGCTAGCCCCTCCGGTGGTTTCCTCCCCCGTCGTGTCCGACAGGTCCAATCCAGTCGGCGCCGCCATCCGCCGCTGCCTCGCCGCCCGCCCGCCCGCCCCTGTCGCTAGTCCGTCGCGTAGTCCGGTCTGTCGCGGCGCGCGCCTTACTGGCTGGCCGCCCGCCCTTCGCGGCTCGGCTATATAAATAATAACTATAAATGTTGTTTTGAAAACACGTTTGAAAAATAAACACCATGGTATGATGTTTTTTAAAAAAAACACTACAAAAAGAAACACTTTGGTTACCAAACACACTTGCCAATAGATCAAAATGACATAAAATGGTTAGAAGTAATGGATTATAGGTCATGAAATTGTTTGAAACTACTAAAAATGTCTATCGTGGACCATAGCTCATAAAATTATGAATTTAGGCATTCACATAATTATTTGCCAATAGATCAAAATGACATAAAATGGTTAGAAGCAATGGATTATAGGTCATGAAATCATCAATTTTGGTCTTCGTGGAATTATTTGCTAAAGAGTCAAAATGAAAATATGGTCAAAATCATAGGTTGTAGCTATTGAAATTGTCAATCTTGACCTTAGAGAAATTACTTGCCAATGGGTCGAAATGGCCAAAAATAATTAGTTTCCAGTAATGAAATAGTGAAGTTTGGATTATGCAAGGACAAAGAATTGATAAAAAGTAGACTAAAATTGCAGGCTATAGCTCATAAAATCATGAATTTTAGACTGCGCATAAGTATTTTTTATTGGATCGAAATAAGCAAAAATGGAAAATATTTATGAATTATAGCTCATGAAATCATGAATTGAACTCCGCATAATTATTTGTTATTGGATAGAAATATGAACAGTAGAAATAAATCATGGATTGTTGCTCATAAAATTATGAATTTTGAACTAGACAAAATTACTTGCAATTGGATCAAAACGAGCAAAAATGTACTAAGATCATTGATTATATCTCACGAAATCTTGAAATTGAAGTCCACATAATTATTTGTCATTAGGTAGAAATGATCGAAAATGGATAAAAATGGTGGGTTATAGTTTATGAAGTTATAAATTTTTAATCTTGCAAAATTATTTACTACTGGGCCGAAATAAGAAAAAAGTAGCAAAAATCATGAATAATATTTCATGAAATTACGAATTTTGAACTCCGCATAATATTTTAGGTTAGATCGAAACAATCGATAATGGAACAAAATCATGAATTATAGCTCATGAAATCATTAATTTGAACTGCATGTTATTATATGCCATCAGGTCAAAATGAGAGAAAATAGACAATTCAGGGATTATAGCTCAAGAAATTATTAATTTCTATCTCCGCATAATTATCGTCATTGGGTCAAAATAAGCAAAATAGATGAAAACCATGGATTATCACATATGAAATCATGAATTTTGAACTCCATATGAATATTTACCGGTGGGTCAAAAGAAGCAAAAAATGGACAAAAATCATGTATTATAGTCCAGGAAAATAGTGGAATTTTAACTTTATCTAATTAATTTCTATTCGGTTGAATACAGCAAAAGTGGACTAAACCATTAATTATAACCCATAAAATCATGAATTTAAACCGCGCATAATTATTTTTCATTGGGTCAAAACGAGCAAAAATGGAAAATAGTCGTGACTTATAACTCATAAAATCATGAATTTTGAACTCCATGTAATTATTCGTCTTCGGATTGAAAAAAAAATGACAAAAATTCTGGATTATAGTCCATAACATCATGAATCTTCAACAACAAAATATTTGTTATTGGATCAAAAGGAGCAAAAATAAATAAAAATTATGGAATAACTCACGAAATCGTGAATTTGAAAGTTCATAATTATTTACCATTAGGTCAAAATAAGCGAAGTTGTGATTAGAAAAATAATTTATAACTCATGAAGTTGTGAATTTTAAACTCTGAAAAATTACTTGCTATTAGGTTGAAATAAGCAAAATTTGACAAATATCATGAAATACCACCCTTGAAATCACGAAATTTAAACTCCATATAATTTTTTACGATGAAAAAGTTTTGAATAAAATATTTGTTGTTAGGTCATATAAGATCGTGAATTATTTGTTATTAAGTCAAAACAATCAAATTTGAATAAAATCATGGGTTATAACTCATAAAAATCGTAAAATTTTTACTTGAATAGAGCAAAAATGGACTAAAATTGTTCGTTATAGCAAACGAAATCACGAAGTTTGAATTCCATTTAAGTATAACTGATGACATCGTGAATTATTTGTTAATGGATCAAAACGAGCAAAAATAAAGAAAAATTATGGATTATATAGCTTATGAAATCGTTAAATTTAAACTCCACATAAAAAGTGCGTTCAAAGATAACATTTCACTACTTCGCATGCTAATACTTTCAAAACAACTAATAAAGGAAAAAAAATAAAGCACCGGGGAAAAAGCAATTCAGATCTGCGTTAGCAAGTAACAACTTTATTGGAGCACTGAATCAACCAAAACATAAGAGACAACCTCAAGTCCACTTAATGTTGTGCATGCTCAAAACACCCTCAGCAATTAAAAGTGCAGTCCTTCTGCAACCACCAAGCTGGCATCTGACCATAACAAAAAAAACAGCAATCAAGTTGGCATCTAATGATAATGGAGAAACGAGAAGCTTAGTTTTCTTCACTGCATCTGAAAGCATCCGGATGGGCTAGCACGATTCGAGAAATACATAATGCCTCACGTTCATTACAGAAACATATTACTTTTGCGTTATTACTTTTGGGTCTCGAGGCCTCCAAAGCCCCAGCCTGTATTTGTGTGCATATGTCAATATCAACTTCCTCTGCATCACCAAAAACCAAGACAGAGATCAGCAAGAACACATTGAATATAAATTGTAGTTTATGAACCTCATTAAATTTTTTGAGGTAGTCATGCGGCCCCTAACCTTTTGATACAAGTGTTATCATTTAGATCTTGAACTTAAGGAAATAGAGAAAATCGTTCTATTGTCGCTTTTGTTGTAGCAAGTTTATTTCATTTGTTTGCATGTCCACATAAGATCAGTTTGTTGTCCATCCGCTTGCCTACTCCAGAAGGGGAAGCTACAAACTATAACTTCCGATTTAAAAAAACTTCAATACTAGGCAACACCATTTGTACCAACAGCCAACCTACTACCATACTAGCTACGAGAACTAGACTTACAGCTTATAATAGAAAAATCAGGTTAAGTTTGCCGGTACAAAAACCTGTCAATATAGTCCTGCAGTTTAAAATGGTTCGTCTGAAATTCCCCAACCCTTGAGGGTTCACAAAGAAAACATAAGCTGAGAGATCGCAAGATCATTTATAAGGCATAATGAACACAAGACGAACCGATATGGTAAGATGTCTATTGTTACTTTATTTAAAAGATAAGAGTCTTATATATGAAGTGTTATTGAATATAAAATGCCCAAAAAAACAACTGAGAGCATTCCCAAATTTCAGCCATTTGATACTAAATTCACAAGTTTCCATCCCTCCTAAGTTATTTATGCATACTCCAAAATTAATCCATAATTTTAACCATTTTTGACAATAACACGTGATTTTGCCCATTTTTGGGTAAACCACAAATTGCCGCCACATGTAGAATATATTATGTGCACTCATATATTGCCAAATTTTTGTGGACTACAATCCATGAATTGGCCGTTTAAACCAAATCACAAATTGCCATCATGGGAAAAAAATTTTAAGCGTACTCTGAAGTTCCTGAATTTCTAAGGACTAAAACCAATGGTATGGCCGCTTTAACCAAATCAAAAGTCACCAGCTCGCATTGAATAGTTTGTGCCTCCTATAAATTCTAAAATTTCTGTGGACTATAACCATGATTTTAGTTGTTTCTCGACCAAATCACAACTTGTCGTGCCACATAGCTTATTTTGACCGTATTCCAAAATTCTCAAATTTTGTGGACTATGACTCATGATTGTGGTCGTTTTCGATAAATGTCAAATTGCCTTCCACATGGAATATTTTATGCATATTCTAAAATTCTTGAATTTTGCAGACTATAATCAATGATTTTGGCTGCTTCCGATGAAATCACAAATGCCATCACGCATAGGATATATTATGTATTCTAAAATTTCTGAATTTTAGTGAACTATGATTAATGAGTCAAGATTGTGGTCGTTTTCAGCCAAATCGCAATTTTCCCTCTAACATAGAGTAGTTTGTGTACACTAAAATTCGAGAATTTATGTGGACTATAACTTATAATTGTGCACGCTTTCGACAAAATGACAAATGCTATTGCTACAAAGTTCTTGAATTTTTGTGTACTATGACTCATCAACATGGTCATTTTCAACCAAATCACAAATTGTTGTGCTCCCGCATAATATTTTATGTATACTCCAAATTTTCTAAATGTCTATGAATTATAACCCATAATTTTGGTTATTTGAAACTAAATCACAAGTTTTCGCCTATCATAAATTATTTAATGCGCACTTCAAAATTAATCGATAATTTTAGCCATTTTCGACCAAAACACAAGTTGAATTTATATGGACCGTAACAAATGATTTTTGTCTAAATAAAGAATTGCCGCCCCACACATCTTTTTTGGACTATAATCCATGTTTTTGGTTGTTTAAACTAATTGTCAAGCGTAAATATTTTATGTGCATTCCAAAGTTTTCAAATTTTCATGGAATAAACCGATGGTATTGGTGGTTTTTAACCAATCACAAGTCGAATATGGTAAGGAAAGTTAAGGAAAAATATAGTAACTTGTTTGGGAGTTATAGTAAAGAAAATGGAATAGGACTTATTTTAATTTGTTTGGGAGTTTTAATAAGGGGGGGTAAGGGAAGGAAATTCATGTAAATTACATAATTAACCTCAATTTTTGTTATATTATTAGAGAGCAAAATAGTCCTAATAAAATGATTTTTTTTATGGTAGCTCCTTTTCGCTTTGTTACTGTCCAAATTAAGGGGAAAAGGACACTATTTGAGGGAAACTTCTCACCTCAGCTACTCTTCACTCCCATCCATTACCCCACTCAAAAGAACTTCCAAACAAGTTTAACTCTTCCCCTCTCCCTCATTACACCCCACCCAAACACAGTGTAAGGAAAAATATAGCAACTTGCTTCGGAGTTATAGTAAAGAAAATGGAATGGGGCTTATTTCACTTTGTTTGGGAGCTTTAATAAGGGAAGGAAAGCGAAGAGAATTCATGTTAATTACATAAATAACCTCATTTTTTGTTATATTATTAGAGGGAAAAATAGTCCCAATAAAATAATTTCTTTTATGTTAGTTCCCTTTCCATTGGTTACCGCCCAAATTGAGAGGGAAAATGCCACTATTTGAGTATTTTATGCCTCTAAAAAATTCTCAAAATTTCTATGGCCTATAACCACGATTTTGGGCGCTTCTGATCAAATCACAAGTTTCTATTCTTTATAGCAAATTTTATGCATTATCTCCAAAATTCTTATACTCTTATAGATAATAACTCATGATTTTGATCATTCTCGACCAAATCACAAATTGACGTGTCACATAGCTTATTTTATGTGTAGTCCAAAATTCTCGAATTCTTGGAGATTATAACTCATGATTGTGATCGCTTTCGATAAATGACAAATTGTCTTCCACATTGAATATTTTATGCATATTCTAAAATTAACGAATTTATGTGGACAAATTATTTTCAACAAAATCATAAATTGCTATGACATAGAATATATTTTTTTATTTTAAAATTTCTGAATTTCTGTGAACTACGGCTCATTATAATTGATTTCAAACAATTTACAGATTGTCTTACACTATGTTTGGATGGAGTGTAATGAGGGAGGGGAAGAGTTAAACTTGTTTGGGAGTTCTTTGAGTGGGGTAATAAATAGGAGTGAAGAGTAGTTGACGTGAGAAGTTCCCCTCAAATAGTGACTTTTTCCCCTCATTTAGGCGGCAACCAAAGGAAAGGGAACTAACATAAAAAAATTATTTATTAGGGACTATTTTGCCCTCTAATAATATAGCAAAAAATAAGGTTATTTATGTAATTTACATGAATTCCCTTCTTTTACCTTCTCTCATTAAAACTCCAAAACAAAGTGAAATAAGTCTCGTTCCATTTTCTTTAATATAACTCCCAAACAAGTTACTATATTTTTCCTTAACTTTCCTTACCATTTATTACTTTCCCTCAATATTTTAAAAAACCTCCGCCTAGCCCGCCTAGGCATATGCGGTACCTAAGCCGCCTACCTAGTACCTAGGTGGTATCTAGGCTGCCACCTAAATTTTGAGAGCGTCTAGGAAAGCAAACGTAGACTGCACTCTTTAGGTCTTGATTGTGATTTCTTCTGTTAGAGTCTTCATGTCCTTCAAACTCTTCCAGCCTCCAATTATGAACACCTCTTCTGCCTTCTCCGACCTTCAGTAAAACCTCCTCCCCCACCACTTAACGAAGAAAGAAGTCTAACTAGGCGTCAGTCCAACACCTAAGCTTTCCATAATATTAGTATTTATTATCAATTATTGTAATTAAAATAAAAATAGGAAAACCGCCAAGACTCTAGGTGTCGAGTTGAACGTCTAGGCTGCCTAGCGCTTTCTGTAACCTTGCCCTCTCTTCCCCAATTACACGTACATTTTCTTCCCCTAATAAACTACCAAACATAGTATTAGCATATAGAATATTTTATGGGTACTACAAAATTACATAATTTCTGTGGATTATATAATGGATGAATGTGGTCACTTCTAAATTAATCACAAATTGTTGTCAGGCCCATCAAGCATAGAATATATTGTACTTTATAGTTCTTGATTTTTTGTGGATTATGTCTCATTAGTGTGGACATTTTTGATTATATTTCAAATTGTCGTCCCGCATAATATATTCTGTGTATGTCTATTCCAAAATTCCCAAATTTATGTGGACTATATCTTATGATTTTTGTCGTTTTAGACCAAATCACAAATTTTCGATTCTCGTAAATTATTTCATGCATACTTTAAAATAGGGTTTTTTCATAGAAACCACATTTAAAATAGGGTCATTATACAGAGATCATCTTTGTTTTTCAATTTATACACAAACTACCTTTAAAGAGTTATTTGTTGCAATCAATCACTTGGGCCTACTATTTAGGTTTTTTCGGCTAATTGTTCCCACCTAACCTCCATTAAGGATATCTCTCTAACATACTTGGTATTTGACAACTAATTATTATAGTAAAACCAAAAAAACATGAATTAAAAGTGAGTCCATGTGGTTGATTGAAATGGAAAATTCATTTAAACGTGATTTATACAAAATGACAATCAAAGGTGGTTACTCAAGAAGACCATATTTTAAAGGTGATTTCTATGAAAAAAATTCTTAAAAATAATCCATAATTTTGGCTGTTATTGACCAAAATACAAATTGGAAATTTTTTTGGATAATAATACATGATTTTAACTATTTTCGACTAAATCACAAATTACCACCACGCGCAAAATATATTACGTACACTCAGAAATTGTTAAAAAAAAATTTGTCAACTATAATCCATGATTTTAGCCATTTAAACAAAATATCAAATTGTCGTCACGCCCAAACTGTTGTGTACTCCAAAACTCATGAATTCTGATGGAACTAGAACCAACGATTGTGACCTGCTTTGACCAAATCGTAAACTGCAGGTTCACATAGATAATTTTACACCTCTCCAAACTTATGTGGATTATAACTAATGTTTTTGGCCGTTTCAACCAAATAAAAAATTATCATCCCACTGAACTTATTTCTGTTGACTAGAACTCATAATTGTGGTCGTTTTCGACAAATCAAAAATCACCTCTCCACATGAAATATTTATGCATATTCCAAAATCTCGAATTTCTATGGACTATATAACCAATGATTTTGGTCCTTTTTTATCAAATCACAAATTGTTATCACACAGAATATATTTTGCATATTACGAAATTTTTGAATTTTAGTCAAATATAGCTCAATTGTGATCATTTTCAACAAAATCACATTGTCTTCCCACGTAAAACTTTGTTTTTTATTTTTTTATTTGTGCTTCAAAATTCTAGACTTTCTATGGGCTATATAACCAATGACTATGCATGCTTTCAACCATATTACAAATCGCTATCAAGCATAGAATGTATTATAAGTAGTCCAAAATTCCTGAATTTTGCGAGCTATGACTCACCATCATGGACATTTTCGAGTAAATTACAAATTGTCATCTTGTATAATATATTCTCTCCGTATTAAAAAAGTTCTTGAATTTCTATGGAATATAACCCATGATTTTTGTAATTTCTGAGCAAATCATAAGTTCTCATACCTAATAAATTATTATTTAATGCGTACTTCAAATTAATTCATGATTTTGGTCATTTTCGAGTCGAATGTTTTAAATGTCGGATGTCGAGTTCATGCCGGACGGCTAAAATTCATGTCGGATAGCGAAAATCGGGGATATGTCGGGAGACCTAAAAAAATATAGGATGGTCATATCGGATGGTGTGCATATGTGTAATATAAATATCATAAAATCTAAATAAACCTAAAAAAATCTATTCTCTAAACATATAAAAGAGTAAATAACTTATGATGCTTAGGGTTGATGTTGAAGGAAAGAGATGAGAAATCCGATATTAGCGATTAAGAGAGAATATCGCCTGATATTGATGTCGAATGAATACCTCGGAGAAGAAACCGATGAGATGTCGAAGGAGAAAGAAAAGATGAGCGACGAATATTACTTTGGTCTTTTTTTTTCATTTCCCGTAACTTATCAATTTTTGTCTTTGAAAATAATATGAAGACAGTCAAGAATTTAAACTCAAACCTGATTAGACAAACATAAACCAAAAAAATAAAAAAAAGTTTAACCAATTTTTCAGGCTAAAAAATCGGCCAACATATCACCCGACATATCCGCCCGACATATCCGACATATCCGACATATCGCCGATATATCCGATATGAACCCTAAAAACGCAATACGCATTGAAAAGCTTCATATCGTGTCGGTTGGCCCCTAAATCCGACATGTCGAACATATCGGCCGACATTTAAAACATTGTTTTTGACTAGAATACAAATTGTTAAATTTCTATGGACTATAAACAATGATTTTGGGCATTTCCATCCAAATCAAAAACTACCTCCGCATATAGTACATATTACTTGTTTTTAAAAATTGTTGAATTTTTTACTACAATCCATGATTTTGACTATATAAACTTACTCACAAATTGCTATCACGCGTAAAATATTATGTATACCAAAATTCCTAATATTTTGTGAAACCCACGATTGTGATCGTTTTTTACCAAATCACAAGTTGCCTGGTTGCATAGATATTTTATTTCTCTCTGAAATTCCCAAATTTCTATGGGCTACATGAACTCATGATTTTGGTCATTTCATCCAAATCACAAATTGCCATCCCGCGTAGCTTATCTTATGATTGTCCCAAAGTTCCTGAATTTGTGTGAACTATAACTCATGATTGTGTCATTTTTTATAAATCAGAAAATCATCTTCATGCATGGAATATTTGGTGTATTCCGAAATTTTCAAATCTCTATAGACTATAACTATGATTTTGGCTATTCTCAATTCCAAAATTTCTAAATTGTTATGAGCTATAACTCATGACTGTGGTCGATTTCAACCGAATTACAGATTGTATTCACGCATAGAATATGTTATGCATAATTACATACTAAAAAGTTGTAGAATTTTTGTGGCCAATAACATAAGGTTCTTGCTTTTGACAAAATCACCAATTGCCGACACGAATAGAATATAGGGTTATTTGCGAATAGACCCCATGCAGTTCACCCAATTGCGGATAGACTTCTTGTAGTTCTATTTGTTGTGAATAGACCCCCTGATCCAAATGTGAATACACCCGCTTAGTGAACTTTTTCAATGCTTTTAAAAGTTAAAGAATTAGCAATTGGAGGTCTATCCTGACCAATAAAACTATAAGGGTATATCCGCCTCAAACCTTTTTTAACGATTTTAACGATCGAAAAAATTCATTTAGGGTGTTTATTCGCAATTAAATGATACTACATGGGATCTATTCACAATTACCTCAAAATTTATGAAAGTTCTGTGACATATTTACACAACCATTATTTTTGGTGAGGTTTTGACATGGCTCAAATTGAAGACTATCATCCTTGCCATAACTTCAAACCTCTAAAATACATAAACATTAACATATTTGCACAACAACCATTATTTCATGAGAAACTCAGACATGATATAAAATTTGGGTGAAGTTCCTACAAATGTCAGCACTTAAGAGTGTGATTGGTTTTCACCAAAATTTGGAAGTCTTAGTCTATTTATGGTCCTATAGATGAAGGAAGGCTCGAGTAAGAGATCACTTGAAAGCTATGTTATTTAGGTACTTCTATCATGAAGTCTTACCCATACCTGACACTTCCCATACTCGTAGCCAAACCCCACACTTCTTGGAAACTCCTTAGACATATGCATACATCTATTCAAACGTGTACACAATTATGCAATACATATTCAAATTTAAAACACTTGTAATATACTTCTCGGATAAATATTCTACACACTACATATATTTTTTGAAACTCATTGGACAATAGTAAAGTTCATTTCAGTCTTAAAAACGATTTCAAAGGATCATTTGCTTATCTAGCTTAGAAACTATGATACAGCTTGTGTTTCGATCGTGTCCCCTTACCCTATCTTATATAAATCCGATGTGTCTCGTACAAGCAATGTTTTAAATATCGGCCGATAAGCCAATATTATCTGCAATTTATCAATTTTTAGGGCCTTCCACTATGATAAGTTTCATTCTAAATCGGTTGTCGTTTTTGGATGTTTATCGTCAATAATGCGGTGATAAAATGAGTTATCAGCTGATATTGTCGGCCCAAAAAATAGAATTATCTGCCTTTGGTTTGAGTTTAGATTTCGAGCAATAGACACCTATTCAATGCACTTTAAACTCGACCCGACCTGAGTTTTTACCGTTGATTAGTGATCCAAAACATAATTATCTACATTTTGATATGTTTATATTTTTTTTTAAGTATGGTTATATTATATTTTAGAATATTATATTATGCACATCACTATCCAGTAATGTCACTCTGATAAATACTACTTATCCCCGATATATCCCTGATATCCGCTATCTGATATGAATTTTGACCGTCTGATAAATCCTCGATGATCAATATTTAAAACCTTACGTACAAGCACCCATACTAACACCCGTATCCATGCAACTTAGCTTAAAAGTATTACTAACATGAAGAATCAAAGACAATGGACAGATAAAAAAACACTTAAATTTTTAGAACTATAAAAACAAACAGGGAGGTCACTATAGTGATTGGTGAGACATCACCACATGGATGACTCCAAATTGTTTGAATGAAAGCCTTATATTGCCTTTTTTTAATAATGATAATGAACTTACAAATCGTTATTACATTTAGCTAACTCATAGTTTATAAGTGAACGACTACTCTTAATATCTATGAAAACTAATTCAAAAGAAATGATCCATTTATCTTGTCATCCACAGGAAAGCATTTTAAGCTCTCATCCCCTTCCCTATTGTAAAAAAAATGTGATTCAAGTCAAATGGGTTAGATATAATTCATAATCCTTACCCATTTCTTTAAATTAAAGAAAACCAATCATTGGCATTTAATCCATTCATCCAACATAGTGCTAGTAATAAGTAATAACATTATCGAACAAATACTGAGTAAACCAATTTTCCAAAAAGAAAGAAAGAGGTAAGCAGAAAAATACATGTTTGCAGGGGATGCCAAGTTTCTTAAGCCGTAAAGTTCTCGTTTCTAGAAGCTTCTGGATGTCCCCGATCTCTGCCTCCAGCTTCGCCACGTGCGCCTCTACTCCCCTCCCAACTCCATTCAAAAACTCAGGTATTCCAACCTTTGCTGCTTAGATTGAGAGGGGAAAACATCAAAGAAATACAAAATCTAATTTTGCAATTAATTTCATTATGTAAAACTCCATGAAACAAACCCTAACCTTATCAACTAAAACCCTACAGAACCCCCAAATGTATCAAAACCCTAAAACCCTAGAAGAAAAACCCTAAATTCGCAAGATTCACATACAAAAACGGTAAGAATCGAACCACTGCCAATCAAACCCTATCTAAAGAACCCTCTTTACCGATCAAAAATCAAAACCCTAGTTCTTCCAACGAATAAAGAAATGAGAGAGAAATGAAGGATTATAATACCTAGGTAATAGGATTGACTGTAAGATCTAACGGCGCAAAAGCATTGAGGTGACGGAGGGGTAACGGCCGCTCGGCAGCGGCGAGCAGTTGCTTTAAAAATCGCGCCATCACGAAATGGAGAGCAGAATAGAGCTCGGAGGTGAATATTTGCAAGAAAAGCAAGGGTCTTGTAATTATGGGCCTAAACCGGGCTCTTGAGTTGGAGCGCGAGTTTGTTTTGGGCTTCAAAGATATTAGCTCTTTGATGCATTTGTCATGTTTCCTACCGACTTTAACGGCTTGTTTAGGAGATCGCTAATGGCCTATTTGGATGGAGGGTAGAGAGGGGAAAAGGAGGAGAAATCTAATTTTAATCTTGTTTGGAAGTTTCATTTAGAAGGGTAGAAAAGAAGAATAGGGGAAAATTTGAGTCAAATTCAAGAAGAATAGGGAAAAATTTGAGTCAAATTCTTACACCCCAAATTAGGGTGTAATGAAGAGAGAGGCAAGGAAGGGGAATTTTTCCCACTCCTTCCCTTCCCTAATGGCCTGTTTGAATTGAGGGGAATAAGGGAGAAGGAAAGTTAGGGGAACCATTCACTTTATTTGGAAATATTTAGGAGGTGAAGTTATTCACCCTAGTTCCCCTTTGTTCACCCCTTAATAGTATAAAATTTGTTACCCCCTAAATTAGGGTGCAACCAAGGGGAAGAGAACTTCCTTCCCTTCCCTTCCCTTCTCTCACCTAGTTTCTCTTAACTTCCCTTAATCCCATTGAAATCCAAACACACCCTAAGTGAACTACCAAACATATCATAAGGGAAAGGAAGGAAGGTTAAACTTTTCCTTCCCTTCTCTTCTCTAACTTTTGTTCCTCTACCCTCCTAATAGAACTTTCAAACAAGGTTAAATTCAAATTTCCCTTTCCCTTCCCTCCTCTATCCTCCATCCAAACACACCATAAAGGAATATATATATATATA